ATAACTGTCTCGAATTCTCCCAACCTCCCCTCGTGTTGCTATCAGGCTATGTAAACACGGAAAAAGTTTTCTATTGCTTAAATCTTTCACAGAGCCTGCGTTTCTCTTGGTCAGCAAGCGAGAAAGTGGATTATATATGTAGAACCTCGTTCCTCGGTGTTGACCAAAAAAAGCACGCTCTGGAAACGAGATTATACATACCTTTTTAAAGCCGTTTTCAGTGTAAGTCCTCCAGTTATTGCTATCAGTACTGTACATAACAAAATACTCAATAACCCAATGTGGTTTGGACTGTCGCCTGATAGTAACAAGTCCTGTTACGCGTGTCTTTTGAAGGAACTCTATTTGAAGGTATTGTTCACCCTTGGTGTTCTTGGCACACCAGCCATCATCAACTGTAAATATATGATGAAACTGTCAAGTGATGCCATAGCCGCCATATTGGTTGTTCCATGTTGTCATCCAACATGGTGGCCACGTTTTTTGTCCTTGTGCATGTGACGTCATAGCCGCCATATTGGTTGATTCCATGTTGTCATCCAACATGGCGGCCACGTCTTTTGTCCTTGTGCATGTNTTTTGTCCTTGTGCATGTGACGTCATAGCCGCCATATTGGTTGATTCCATGTTGTCATCCAACATGGCGGCCACGTCTTTTGTCCTTGTGCATGTGACGTCATAGCCGCCATATTGGTTGATTATATTCCTACAAAAGATTTGGTCTCCTCAACTCCCCCCCCTCTCTTCTTGAATAATTTAACCCATACTTACGTTCTCTCGCTTGGCTTGGTTGTGCTTCGGCATAACTAGACGATGCGCTTATTTGGTAGTCGTGGATTTCTTTAGACTTCATTCCAAGAGGATTAGAACAGCCTTTTTTGTGTAAGAAAATGAAGCCATTAAATGTATCACAGTTCGGGACGGTCACGGTATGAAATCCGTAAAATTCCAAGGACTTTGAAAACGAATGGTACGAAATGTGTGGATTTTACATGACTTTGGTACGAATATCCCGCGCTGTTAGAAGTTATACTCAGGGACAAGATCAAAGTGCGGAATTCGCGGATTTCAAAAGGGAATGACTTATGATCTGAAAAGCGTTACCCTCAGAAAGCTTTCGTATACTGAAGCAAGAAGAATAAACCTCACCTGGGACCTCGGAATGAAATGTCATCGTCTCCAACGGCTCACTGTAGAAGGTGCCTTTATTCGTCACCTGTCCTTGCGCGTCTTCAACATAATTTTCAAAGTAGGTGATCTGAGCATGCGTAACAACGTGGTGCTGGCCTGGGCCCAACTTGTTATCTTTGTCAAAGACGACAGCCATTTCGAAGGATGGTTCGCTTGACCAGATTACTTCACTGAACTGATATAAGTTATAAAGAGAAACGTCATTGTTTGATCTTATTGACTCAAGCCTGGACTCAAGGTAGACTTTACTTTGAGCGCGTAATGTTTTCCCATTTCAGACCACGTCATTCCCTAGTCAATAATATTCTCTGTTTGAGTCGAATCCATTTTCATGCGTCTTCTCATGCGCATCTGTTAAACAAAGAAATGATACTCTAGGGAATGACACGTGGTACATAACGCCTAAGGTAAAGAGGTCTATAGCTTTTGTGCCGTTTGTTTTATCGTAAATTTGTCATCTTTATTATAAATACCAATTTTTACTTCAAGAATTGAACAGATTTCTTAGCATTGAACCAGTATCTTGGCTCTCTAATGGCTCCCTAGTTACAAGTATTGCGATCGAACAATATAATTTTCTCGGCATTCTGATTGGTTTAGTCTCAGAAGTGGAAACCACTTAAGGGGCTCAATCTATAAATAAATATAGAAAATATCGATAAGAAAAGATCATAGTCTTGCCTTGAAAACCACACTGTCGTCCTTCTGCGAATGCGTAGGCTTGGTGATTTCGTAAGATTTCAATTGTTTGAATGTAACAAATGGAGTGAGCATGAAGAGGACTCGTACACCTTGTGCATCTGCAGAGGAATCACTGCTGTGCTTCAGCTTGACTTTATACGAAAACGTGGCTCTGGGAAATAATCAAAGTAATCAGTGAAGGAAAATGGGAATTCAAAACTGACACCCGTGACGGGAAGCAATCCAAGTTCGATTCCCGGACTCGGTGTCATATGTGAGTAGAGTTGTTTTTTGGTTCTCTCCTGTGCTTCAAGGATTTTTCTCCAGGTTCTCCGTTTTTTTGGTTTGTTAGTCACTGGTTATATTAAGTGCTATATTGTTAAAAAGGAAGATTTTTTTTTAACGAGATCAAAATCAAATTAAAAAATTTGACAAAAGCAATCGATTAAAAGGCAATAATAAAATGATTTAAATCCACATGAATCAACTGCGCAGTGCATCATATAGACTTGTCTTTAACATTTATTTTCAACATCAAATTTTCAACAATTTCGTGCGTGGCAGGAGGTACAAGGCCTTTTGCTATAGATATAGTCTTGGGGCCGGCTATAGTCTCTCCCCTGATGCTTCGGCTATAACATTTTCTTGCGTAATTAATGCACCCAAGGGCAGAAGGATTTAATCGCCGTCAGGTCCGAGGTCCATACGATGCCTCAGCTTTTCAGATGTCTAGGGGTTTGACACAGTGGAATCGAATTTTCTAATATTTGTTTATGAGAAATCTCACCCAGGATTCATCACTGATGTAACGTTCTCGTAAACCACAGACATCTCAAGTTTAGGACGCTGTAAAGAAAGACAAGGGTCAGTATGAAGACCAAAGGGTTAACCAGAGCGCAGTTGAGATCGTTTATACAGACAACATACCAGTCCTGATCGTCTGTGTCGTTCCTTGGGTTCGGACGAAGTATTAAGACATGTCACTGAAGAGTTTTAAGAGAATTAAAGTATAGTTTGTTTTCACTTCTGAAGATGAACAATAAAGGGATAATAGAGTAGAAGGTTGAAAAAGAAAAAAATAAAGATAAAGGTGAAAAGGCGATGGTAGGTGTGTAATGGATAGAAGAGAGATAACGAAACTGGAAAGGAAGTTAATAGAAAAGGAAAGAAAGGAAGGAGGGAAGGAAGGAAAGTAGGAAACAAGAAAAGTAGAAAGAAGTGAGAAGGAAAGGAGAAGTAAAAAGAAGAAAGTAAAAAAGAAAAGAAAAGAAAAAAAGGACTAAAACAAAGAAGGAAGCAAGGAAGGAAGGGGGAACAAAGAGGTAAGAAAATAAGCGAAAAACCAGAATGTCAAAACATATTAATTTCCGGTCATATAGAATGCGCACTATTTTTTAAAACAATTATTCTCCGAAGGAGAAGTGATTATCGAGGTAGTTATGGAGCAATAATCACTGAGGCTGAGGCAAATAATTGTTTTAGTATAAATACACAGGTGATTCTTTCAAAAAAGGAAAAAAAGAAGATAAAAGGCATTTTTTCACGGTAATAGCAACAAAGCGGCTGGCCGTCATTTTGGATTTTCGCTCGAGGTGATTATCGTGTGATAGTGTGAGTTTCTTGACCAATCAGCGCGCGAGATTTTCAATAATCACCTGCGTATTTTTACTAGAGGGATTTTCCTCCGACCGTGAAACAGTTTGTAGTAGTTAGTGTATAATAGTCAAATAGACATAAAAGACATTGGAAATAAGATCTTTAACCTTTATTGGCCTTCAAACTCTTGCACGGTCTGAGAACTCACTCTGAGCTACGTCTCTAATAGCACCAACGGATTAGAATTGTTAATGACATACCACGTTATATTTTCAACATTTTTCATTTCAAGATTTACAAATGCGAATATATTTCAACAACCATTTCCACAATTTTCTATTAGCCCGAAATATCAATGTATATTATACGATTTGATGCCATTTTTTCTCTAACCGAGCAGCAGTAAGGGGGACTCGCGATCGATGCC